TTAATGTAAAAAACTATGAGGTGAATTTATCAAAACTGGAGCAGACAAAATCTGGAGCAGCTGTGCATGGCAACCAATCAGCTTCTTTCTCTGGTTTGTTCAGTTAAGATTTGAAAATGAAAGAGAGAAGCTGATTGGTTGCCGTGCACAGCTGCTCCAGATTTGATAAATTCCCCTCAATGTGTTTAATAGAGGTAAAGGTGCCCATACACCTTACAATTATCTGCATCTTGTCTTGAATTGTATTGTGACTGTAATGTCTTCCTTATATTGTAAAGCGCTGCGCAAACTATTGGCGCTATATAAATCCTGTATAATAATAATAATAATAATAATCTGCAGATTTTCTGTGGTCAGATGGAAAAAGTGCAGCAGATTGGCCCAGGTGGAGATTACTCCATCCACACAGTTAAGTGTAGATGGAGGAATCTGTTGCACCTTTTCCATCTGAGCACAGAAAATCTGCAGATAATTGTAAGGTGTACGGCCTGCTTAAGAATGGTGCCGGTCTTTTTAAATTGCAGGGCCCAGGCTGAAGCAGATGAAGTTATTGGTTTAAAAACTGACATTACATATGAAGATCTTGAAAAACTGGAATATTTATCACAGGTACAGTATGTGCAATGTATGTGCAATGAGAAATTAATATAATAAAATTAAATTTTTTTGCTTCTTCCCTTGATAAAATGCCTGGTGATCCCAGGGTCTTCCTCCAGATTTGCAACAACACTGCAGGGCTTACAGTAAATTTGCTGCAGCGTTGTCACCCTCACCAGCTGCACATGGCTGCGTCAATAAGTATGCTGAGGAGGAGCTCTACCCCTCACTGCCAATCAATTCTGTCTAAGTAATCCAACAGGGTGCCCTGTGCCTGGTGTAATTGACATGGGGGGGCTTGGATCCCTCCTTTCAGTTCCAACAAACTGAAGACATCGGTTCTTTGCTTTTCCAGTACGATGGGGTGTGTGGTTTATGTTATAAAATTATTTGGGTAGAGACTAACTTTAAAGACCCTTTATGATGCTTTAGTCTTGACACATCAGCATGGAATAAATGGAGCAGAGTGCCCATGGCCTAAGTCATTTATCAGTGTCAGGGAATCAACATCAATGAGGGCAAATGATTAAATAAACATAGGAGAGCTGCAAGCAGTAGCTTGGCTCTTGGGAAGAATTATGCAAATATTAAAATGCTTTAACTGAGTTGACATTCCTATGCAGACTATATTTGCATGCAGACTGCCCTAGACAGCGCCCACATGTGATGATTAGCCCCCATGATTGAACTGAAATCCAATAAATGAAAGGTGTGCGACAGTCAGGCTGGGGAGGAAAGAGCTAGATAATGCCAGACACCCTACAGCCAGAAAATGAGACGGGCTCTGTGTGACTTGCTGCAGCTTCTAATGCACATTGTGAGAAGCTGACAGTGTGCAGTGAAATCAGAGCAAGCCATTTCAGTCCAGGAGAGGAGCCGGTACAACCGTGCAAGACTGAACACAATACGTGGATGCAATCATCTCTTCACACAAACTGTCTATCAAGTTACATCAGTAAGATTTGTGTTCACAGACTAATGTTCAATTAAGATTTTGTTCATTTTTAGGTTCTAAAGGAGACTTTGAGATTATACTCACCAGCTCCTGGAACATCACGGCTGGTGGAGGAAGAGATAGTCCTTCATGGTGTAAAGATTCCCCCTGACGTCACTGTAATGGTACGTTCCATCACTGTAATAAAGATCATCTGTAACCTTTTGCAGGAATACTAAACTATAACTCTAGAGGAGAAAATCGAGAACTTAGCAGTGGAAATGTGTCCTTAAAGCTGAACTCTGGGCATCAAAACTTTCATTTAAATATATTGCTCAATAACCACATAGAATAAAATCCACTTTTTTCACACCAAATACCTTTCAAAATCCAGATATTACTTTTCAAAAGTAGCAGTGGCATCATCGTCAATTTATACATAACCTGTACAGAGTGCGCCGTTATCACCCGGTGACGAGGAAGCATGGAGCTGGCTTTCCAGCCGATCAGGAAGCCGGGCAGCGTGTAATGGCTCGCTGCCCGGCTTTCTGATACCGGAAGTTCGGGTATCGGGCTGGGCATCAGAGCATTTGGGCGAGTACGAGTGCTCTCCCAAATATTCGGTATCGTCACCGATACCAGTACCGGTATCGGTGCCCCCCTAGTTTAGAGACTTTGATATCCTTCTGGAGGGGGGCTATTTTTGTTCCCCGTGGTCCCTGTGTGTGTTGTAAAGTAGTCACCGCTCCAAGCTCACTCCCGGGATGGACTACAATCTCAATACAAATTAGTAAACTAAACATGAGATTCTAGATCATCCCTGGAGTGAGCTTGGAGCGGTGACTACTTTACAACACACACAGGGACCATGGGGAATAAAAGTAGCCCCCCTCCAGAAGGAAGGACAGTGTCAGCACCAATTCAGAGATGATTGGAGGATCTACAGCCGAGTGATACACAAATAAGATACATTTTTGTTCATAGTTAAGGTACTTCAATGTATTTTTAAGATTCAACTCCTGAGTTTACTGTCACTTTAAAATTCGTCTACATTAGTGTTGACTTTACATAATTCATTGAATCAGAGACAGCATACATTTATTTCTTGTTCTCACTGCAGTTCAATTCATACGTCATGGGAAGGATGGAGCGTTTTTTCCAGGACCCCCTTGTCTTCAACCCAGATCGGTTCCACCCTGATGCAGCCGAGTAAGAACTGTTCTCTGCTGTAATTATGCTGGTCATACATAATGACCAGACCCCTAAATAATACACTGTTCACCCCTCAGCTACTCCCAGTATTCTGTATTCAGAGAATATTTAGGATGCCGTTGCTGACCTCTCCTTCTGAAAATACACATTGTATGGCTGTCCATTGGCTTAATTGCTGTCAGAGGCACTCACCTTGAACAGATCTGCGGATCAGAAGTCCTGATTTGACTTTGGAATCTGTTTTGCTTGTTCCAGGTCAGCGACTCAATGTACTGAAGCCAGAAACGGACAACCAAATAGTATTCTTAAAAGTGGGTGAACAATAGCAGCCCCTATACCTAAAACTGTCTGATATTCTAAATGGCAGCACAATAGAATTCAAGTCTTGCCCAGTTCTCTGTTTATGTATTCTTTGTTTCCATAGGCCGTACTTCTCATATTTTCCATTTTCTCTGGGGCCTCGGGCCTGTGTTGGAAAAGTGTTTGCACAGGTAAGTTAATAAGGCCCTTTTCTACAACTGTCATATACATGGTATACTATAATAAAGAAGGACTTCCCAAAACGTATTTTTTCTATTTTGGGTAAGTCCCAGGGAAATGAATCACTTGTTTGTATCACAGTATAGCTCAGACATCTGTTCAGTTGACTTCTATCACTATCATCAAACTATAGAAATACAACAATTTTGAGGTCTATTTATAAATAATTTGCCCTGCAAATCTCTGTGCCGATACCGAATACTCGTACTAGGCCAAATGCTCCGAAACTTACCTCCCATACCAGAACTTCTGGTCAGAGGGAGATCTCCCCCTGACTGGCAGTGCCAAGGGACGATGGAGCCAGCTTCCTTTCCAATCAGGAAGCCAGGTGGTGGGTTATGTCTGGGCTCCCAGCTTCCTGATTGGCTAGGAAGCCGGCTTCACTTGTTGGTAGGTAGCCTGGCTTCCTAACCCGTCAGAAAGCCGGGCGGCACTTCATGACTCACGCCCCAGCTTCCTCACTGGTCGGGATGCCACACTGCCTAGAAATAAGTGAAGCCGGCTTCCTAGCCAACCAGGAAGCCGGGAGGCGAGTCATGATGTGCATCCCAGCTTTGTGATTGGCTAGGAAGCCGGCTTCACTTGTTGCTAAGCAGCCTGGCTACCTGACCAATCAGGAAGCCGGGCAGCACCCCATGATTCGCCACCTGGCTTTCTGATTGGTCAGGAAGCCAGGCAGCTTCGGCAAGTTAAGCCGGCATTCTCTCGCTAGAACACAGGCAATCAGGAAGCAGGGCGACGGGTCTACTTACTCCCCCCCAAAAAGTGTTACTACAAGTCTTCTGTAAAACAGTTATAGTAACAACTTCCTGTCGTTTACTTGTTAAAGCTGAACTCTGGCAATTGCACAAAAACACTTTCGCAGTACCCCCCTACCCCCCTCCTACCCCCCTCCTCAAACACACACTGTGTGACCGTTCCCCCAAAGCCTTTTCTGTAAGGTGCTCAAGCACTCTGACGTTATCACATACAATTCAGGACCAAGAGCCCTACATTGTACGTGAGATCAATGAGGGCCCGCCACAACCTGGAGGGCTGGTTCACATCACATGCAGTTCTGATGCAGTCCGTTCAGTTTGGCAGCTGCATCAAAATCCCATCAGAATGCCTTCCAATGGGATTGCTGGTGCTCTGTTCACACCATTGCAGTCCGTTCCGATCCAGTCACTAAAAATACAGCTTGTCTCATTTTAGCTGCACCTGATCGCAACGGAATGCATCAAAACACATACAAACACACTGGACTGTACCTAGGAGCCCATTTAAAGCAAAAAAAACAAATACAAATCGCGGTAAAAAGGTGTGAAACTGCATCGCACTGCAGCACAGACGCATACAGTTAAGGTGTGAACTAGCCCGGAGTGTCAGAGAGAAGGGGTGAGGGATTTTCTGTACTTGCAGCTTTTTTAAAGGGATAAAACACAGAAAATGACCGTGTATTTGAGAGGTGTACTGAATATGTTTTTCTTTTTTCTCCCAGACATATAGTTTAATCTGTGAACTCCTCTTTCTTTTTTAGATAAAGATGAAGGTGATACTGGCCAAACTTGTGCTCAAGTTTAATTTTCATTTAGTAGAAGGACAGACATGTAAACTAACAGGTACAGGAATGCTGCAGCCCCTGGATGGGGTGTTCTGCAAACTGAGACTCCGCACAAGGCAACGCAGATCTCTGACAAGACGCACAATGTGACAGCCGTGACATTGTTTTCAAACAATACGAAAGTGTAAAATGACCATTTTGTAAAATACATGTTGTTAGCCAAATTTATTGTGAAGGATTACACACCAGGCATCCATTTATGATTGTTTTCTGCATCCTTGTATCTGGTCGGTGCACCAGATGTTGTAAAGATATAAAATAGAAGTATAAGGGCTCATTAACATGGGCATTCATGGCCGTACATCGAGCAGATCAGCTTGTTTCTGCATCAGGTACGGCCAGATGTTTACTGTCATCTGTGGCACTGTATGTGGCTGTGGACATGTAATGGCTCATGGAGTGATTACATTCAGCTAGGGGCAGATCCTCCAGGACCGACCAACAGGGCATTCATGACCGTACATCATCCAGATCAGTGTATCTCTGCATCGGGTACAGCCAGATGTTTACGATCATCTGCGAACAAGAAGCCTGCATAGATCAATGACAGGCTGGCATTGTCTGGGGCTGTGGATAGACCAAGGATGTGATCCCTGGGTCTCTGTGCCTCTCTGTGCAGTACAGGCAGATCATGGCTGGTGGGAGGGGCAGCTAGGGACAGGTCCTCCAGGGCCGGCCAACACAGCATTCATGACCGTACATCATCCAGATCAGTGTATCTCTGTATCGGGTATGGCAAGATGTTTACGATCATCTGTGAACAAGAAGCCTGCAGAGATCAATGACAGGCTGGCATTGTCTGGGGCTGTGGACATGTAATCACTCAAGGAACGTTTACATTCAGTTAGGGACAGATCCTCCAGCTGGACAGGCTGGCTCAGTCCATGGCTGTAAAGGAGCGACTACATGTGGCTAAGAAAAGATAAGCTGCTGTGTACACAGGACCTCCAGGGCTGGCCAACAGTCCCTAACCGTAGATATTCGCTCTGGAGCTGTACAGTACAGCTGTGCCCGCCTCAGAATTCCCCTTATCTGGGTGGTGTATGGCCAGCCTACTGAGTTACTGGTGGTGTGTGAGATATAACATCTTGATCAGTGAGTTGCTTACTCATACTTGCCCACCACATGAAGCAAAAATATAAACATTGGAGGGGGGTGTATTTTAAACAAGGGAAAAAAAAGTTGGGTTTTTGTACAGTCAATAAATAAAGTCATAGAACAAGTGTTTCCAATTGTATTTTGTTTCCTAGTTTTATGTTAACTTCTTAGCAGGAGCTGGTCCTTTAATTAGGCCATGACATCAGAGGCTGGTGGGAGGGGCTCCCATTCATTCGTTCGTTCTGATTGGCTTCCCATCCTACAGGCTCTGGATTGTCAGTAGTTGATCGTGAGCTGTAGATGACAGCTCAGGCACAGTTCTGGGGGCTCCGATTGAGCGTGCCCCAGTACAAAAAATCAACACATACTGTATATGTTAGAGCTAGGCATTAAGGTCCTCCCGCCATGCCCCCCCCCAACATATATTTATTATGCCGTCCTGAAGGGGTTAAAGTTCAAGATTGCGCAGCACCTGATAGGCAGCCCACTGAAGGAGGCTGACATGCTTTTTTGAGAGGACAGGGTCTCTTTAAGACATCCAACTTTGATAGGAAGTATGAAGTGACCACAAATATGTCTGCCTGGAATAAATCAATATTTCACTATCATCCTTGAACAGAAAAACGAATCATCGATGAGAAATAATTTAAAGAAGATAACGTTACGTAGTTTACTATTTTTGGGTAACACAGACATGTTTATATCATAAAATGGACACTATTTTTATATAAATCACCATGTACAGTACAAATAGACATTCAGGTTTTTTGCATATCATGCCCTATAGTACATGGGGCATCATTCAGTCTGGAAGACTGAGGACATCTAGTGGCAAAAAGGCATTACTGACCCCAGTTGCCATATCATGGACCATGACAGATTATTGTATTGCAAAGGCTTTTCTTCATCTGTATTTATCTATACATACTAAATGAGGGTATGTACGTAGGCTGCGGTTTAATGCAGGGCCTATGAATAGTTCTTGCACAAGATCCTTTACAGATTTGGTCCATCACGGAGCCCCAGGTATATTACTCAGGGCAATAATAAAGCTGAACTACAGGCAGATATACAGGGCTATCCCTAAATTATTCACCACCTTAAGTGGCCAGGAGAAGGGGGGAGTGGTGGGTTAATGGGGTCCGGGGAATCAATCAAGCTGTCAACTGCGGAGGGGGTGTAGGCTGAGCTGTCAGCCGGGTGGGAGGTGGCCGAGCTACCCTGCAGATATAAAAGGCACAAATATAATGCAACTCTGTAATCACTAGTACATTCTTAATTATATTTTAAATGCAAACAGTGTAAGTCCCTAAATTTAATTTGATATCAGCCACTTGCAGTTCCTGCGCAGCAGAGACGGAGTGGGAGCAGAAGAAGCAGTACAAGCAGCCAATAGGTTCATTTGCTGACAAGAAACATGCTGATAGGAGGAGAAAGCAGAGTGGCAGAGTTAATCACTGTTTTGGTTCTTCTTACACTTCCAGTCATTGGGGCACATCACGGACAGCCTGGGCTCAGAGGAAGAGAGTAAAATGATGCCCTGAACTTGAGTTTCAGGAAGGTCAAGAGCAGAGGGATTATGAGGGGTTTTAGGTACAGGGGGTAATGGGAGACAAAGAACTTCAATCATCTATAGCTGTCTATGCATTTTTAGTTTAAAGTGCCTACGTTTTTCTCTATATTATCTCATAGTACATAGACATTTACATACTATTGTTGTATGAGTTAGTTTTGATATAGTCATGACATAAAAAAGTATAAAAGTCTATTTCTTTGTGGTTCCAGAGATTGTTCGGGGCCTCAGTCTACACATTGCCCCGTCCATGGGCCGCAGAGAGCCTGTGTCATAAATCTTGAAGCTTTGTCCTTCTACCAACTCAAACTCGAATCTCTGCAGGAGCTTGGCCATTACCACCTTCGCCTCCATCTGTACAGAGACACAGGTAATCAGTTTCAATGTTCACTTCACCCAACAGTAACATTGTAATTACAAATAATTCTTCTCATATATCATAAATGTTCCAGTAAGGAGATCTCCACGCTGTAGTTCCTGAGCCTGTTGCTGTTCACATTGGAGGTTTAGGTTTTCCTGTGACCCTTTGTTTGCTCCATCTCCATATTATAAAAGAAATGTAAACATTCAGCAGGGGAATGGGAGACCCTTATAATGGCCTCATCAGGTGCACAGATCTCAATAGCTTAAACATGGACATCTCACCTATAGAGTCTGCAAAATATATAAGAATTTTTCAGATGGTTTAAAGCTGCGATGCTCAACTGGTGGGCCGTGGCTCGCCACCTCGTGTTCACTTTGCCCTCTCACTTTCGGTAAAGTTACAACCTTCTTTTAAAATCATGGCAGGACGTCATGAAGACCTCTCATGGAACTCAAACGAGAGTTCCAGATCTTTCCACCCAAACATGCATTGCACGGGGATTACACCATATGAATTACATCCAACACAGTACAGGGGGATGAACCCATAATTGGCTCCTGTCTAAATTGTCCCTCGTATGCAGTGGCGTCACAAGGGGGGTGCGGCCCGCACCCGGGTGACACCAAAATGACTGACAGTCATTTTGGTGTCACCCCCTCTAAAAAAGTCGGGAACTCGGTCATGGACCAAGAGCCCGACAGTATCAGGAGAGAGGAGGGGACCCGGCGGCATACCTCATCCCGCCGGATGAACGTCCCTTCCTCTCTCTGCCGTGGTCCAACACCAAGATGGCCGACGGTAGGCATCAATTAGATAGCGATGACATCATGGCGGGGTGTCACCCGGTCCCCGCTCCTGGGTGACACCCGGCCTCGGGATGCCCCTGCTCATATGTATGGATCTGAGATAGGGACCTTAGATTGTAAGCTCCTTGAGGGCAGGGACTGATGTATATGTGCACTGTGTAAAGCGCTGCGTAAATTGTCAGCGCTATATAAATACCAGTAATAAAATAAATAAACACAGGGCTCCAACAGGCGAACAGGGCAGTGGAAGAGTGATAGGAAAGTAAATATTCATGGCTGAAGGTTGGTGGGCCATAAACATAGTTTGCTCTTCACTATCTCTATGTGAAGGGGAGATCAAACATCTTATGCAGAGCAGAAGCAGATCAGCAAGAAGACACAAACAGATTTGCTGTGAAGAGAAGCAGCACTTTAGCAGTTGCCACGTGAGGTTTCTGAAAGTTGCTCATGTTGTATTAGTTACAGATCATTTTTTCAATCCTAACTTCAAATCAAAGGGAAACCGTCATGAGAGTTAACAGATAAATCTCCCAGGTCTCTCTCTCTTGAGTTGTGAACATAAAGGTTACAAAGGTGCCCGGTATTGGTGGATATCGCATATGGAGCATATGTATCCATGGTAAAATCTATTTTATTGTTGTAGTTACAATTAAACACAATATAACGCATTACCCTTCACATCTAAGGGGACATCACATACACTTCAAACAGGTTGTAAAGAAAGCTGTGTACTACACACTCTTCACCTGTTGCACCTGTTCTGAAGACGTGGCAAGTAGCCACTGGATGTTATATGGTGCGTCTATAAAGCTACAACAATAAAAAAGATTATACCATTATAGAATGCCTTTGCAACATGAGCATTGTGGGACCTTGCACAGCTCTTATCCTGCCAACCACTCCTGAAACAGCCCCACCCTGAGGGGCCAAGGTTTGGTTCTCCCTATCCATTAAGTGCAACCTTCCACCGAAGGAATTATCTGAGTGCAGACAGATATTCTCCACATGCTTGATGGCAGTTCACCTACCATTTCAATGGTTTACTGCAACCTACTCAGATGTAAATAATATTACTTCAATGTGTTATCCTTTTTGTGGCTATAAAAGCCAAAAGACTATACTATATAAGATTGTCCTGTTCCTCGCTCCGCCTCTCTTGTTTTTCTACTCATCATTTTTGTCCAAGTGCGACAACAGTATTCCTTTATTCTTATGGTTGCCTGCATGGACTATTATACTGCTGGGAAGATCTGCCATCTTAAAAAAGAAGTGTTGGTAATCGTCAGTGTTAGAAACCGTAAGCTAATGTTTCCTCGGGATAAGCACGGACTAGAGAATGGAAGTTTAGGTGACTCTTAAAAGAAACCCATAACACTTGGACCTTGTTCTAATATCTGACACTGGATAGAGATGTAGCTCTTTGGTTATATTTTAGCTTCCATGCTGCTCTAAAGAGGCTAAAAGGCTGTTAGATCCTATTTCAATGAGCAGTAAAATATGGATGATATTGATGTCTGATATGTTGGCTGTCTATACCACAACGAATGACAAGTTGACAGTGACACACTGATTGTAATGTATCACATAGATAACAATTAGCACAAGGTAAAAAGCAAACACTTACTTGGGAGCATCAGGGTGGAATCGATCTGGGTTAAAGACATTGGGATCGGGGTAAAACTGCTCCATCCTTCCCATGATGTAGGAGTTAAACTGTGCAAAGAAAAACAGAAGATACAAGTTTATTTCATAAAACAAATTGTACCAACTTAGTGCCAGTGAGTGGAACATTCCACATTGCAATACTCAATGAACATCACTCAGCAAGCTGCAATAGGCTATTGTTATACTATGTGATATATATGGGTCAGAATATCATTTGACTCAACAGACCCTCACCGATACTATATCAAAAAAATAACCCTGCTAACCCTGCCCAATTTTAGGGAAAAAATTGATTAGTTCTGTGTTCCCACTGAAGACATTTGTATCACTTTCTTTTCCAGAAAGCGAGGGCAAATTATCCCAATGGGGTCACAGACCACAAACCAAACCTGACATAAGTCAGGTTCTCAAACTATCAAAAACAAACCAAAAAAAAAACCTTCACCTAATCCCTAAATCTAAACTACAACTATAAGACAACTATTAACATTATGCAAATACTAGTGCGAAATGAGATTTCTTTAAAGAGACCCTGTCATCACAGAACTCTTCCCACAAGAATATATGCAGAGTTAATGTATTTTATGCTGTTTGCTCGTGGCCAATAAGCTCTGATTTCAGACAGAGAGTCTTGTGCAGGCTTCACTGTAATAAAGACTGCTCACTGCTGATCTCTCTCCTTGTGCAGGACTGATCTTGTCTCCGCCCCCTCCTGTAATAAAGACCAGTCACTGCTGCTCTCTCTCCTTGTGCAGGGTGACTGGTCTTGTCTCCATCCCCTCCTGTAATAAAGACCGGTGACTGCTGTTCTCTCTCCTTGTGCAGGGTGACTGGTCTTGTTTCCGCCCCCTCCTGAATAAAGACTGGTGACTGCTGATCTCTCTCTTTGTGCAGGGTGACTGGTCCTCTCTCCGCCCCCTCCTGTATTTTTCTGCAGGCAGTCTGCAATAAGTGAGGCCTACTGGGTCCCTCCCACAGCTCTACTCTCTGTACAGCGCAGTGCTGATGTCACTGTTAATTTTACTAGATAATATCTGGGGTTGTAAAGGTATTACATGCACACAAAGTGGAATTTAATCCTACGTGGCTATTGAGAAATATATTTGGTTTAATTTTTGGGAATTTTTTTGCTTTTACCTGCAAGTGTTTCAGTAGGTGACAGGGTCTCTTTAAGTGAATTCAGTACCTTATGTAGACTGTAATTGGGTCAGTGGGTGTGGTGACGGTTTTTTGGATCTTACCATCAGGGATGTTTTAGCGGGAATTCTCACACCCCCTATAACAGTTTCTTCTATTAGTGCACGTGTTGTGGCGGCAGCAGGAGGGTACATTCTTAAGCTTTCCTTCAAGACCTGAAAAAAAGATGGTGTGTTGTTATAACTGTTTACTAATTGCAAAACAAACCTGTTACTCCTACAGAGATTCTGATCTGTCCTGTGTCCTGTGCACACTTCCTGTGTTATCAAAAGGAGACCTCCTACTTATCTAGGACTACAGAATGATTAGTGAGAGTGGTTGAGTAGTTTCGCAAAGTACAACTGGTGGGGCTGACACCATGCAGTCCCAATAAGGCTGTATGTTGTCAGCCTGCACCAAGGCTTAAAGTGATATTTAAGTCAAAAAGTTTTAAGATAGTCCAAATGCTGATGAAATATCTCTTACAATGGATTCTGCTTCTTGATATTTAAAAGTTTTAGCTTCTTTCAGAATCAGCTGGTCCCCTGAGCACTGGCCCTGATATCCTGTTTTAGCCTGACTATTTTCCCTTGCAGGATTCTATGGAGCCACCCTTGTGTGTGTGTTAGTTAGCTGTGTGTGTCTCCACAAACACACATACACAGCAAAGCAAGCTGGTTCCTTTTTGTGAAGATGAGGAAGGGCAGAGATGCTGGAAACTGTCTTCAGTACTGATTTCAATTGAATAAAATAGATAAAGCATGTAGGGAGTGCCTCACTTACTGGAATTGTGGATTATATATTGGAGTGGGTGAACACCGGCATAGAGATGTTTGAGGACATTTGCAACTCACCTATCTGGTTATATATATATATTAGCGATGCACCGATGCTGGTTTTTCGGAATTGAGTATGAGTACCGATATTTTTCTTTGGTACTCGCCGATACTGAATACCGATACCGGCTTCCCGAGGTACCGTGGGCCCTGCTTATCAGGAAGCCAGGTGGTGGGTCGTGCAATTCCTGATTGCCTGGGAAGCCGGTGTTCTATCGAAAGAACACCGGCTTCACGTTCCCTTGCGATACTGCGAGGCAGCCTGGCTTCCTGACCAATTAGGAAGCTGGGCGGCAGGTCATGCAACAAGTGAAGCTGGCTTCTTAGATTCAGGAAGCAGGCCGGGCGGGTCATGACGTGCTGCCCGGCTTCCTGATCGGTCAGCTAGCCAGGCTGTTTAGCAACAATTGAAGATGGCTTCCTAGCCAATCAGGAGACCGGCAGGTGGGTCATGACCCAAAGCCCGGCCTCCTGATTGGCCGGAAAGCCGACTCCGTGCTCACTTGCGGCACTGCCGGTCAGAGGGGGATCTCCCTCTGAGCAGAAGTTCCAGTATCGGGGTAATGATCAGAGCATTTGAGGCGAGTTCTCGTACCCACCCAAATACTCGGTATCGGCACCGTTACCAGTATCGGTACAGCCCTAAGATATATACATATATACACACACGCATATTTGGCGATTGTGTCCCTTCAAAGAGTTTTCATTTTTAAAGATAGAGGGACTTGTAAACTTTTATTTTATCTACCTGAGACAGATATTGCAGTTTTCCAAGATCGTCGTAGTCAAGGTCTCTTTTGGAACCCAGAACTTCATCCACTTCGTCCTGGGCCCTGGAAGGTAAACAGAGTTTGTTGTTTAATATGATTAATATGAGACCGATGTGCTGTGAGTTGTGTCTGTTTAAACTGCAAAAGGTTTTAGAAGGTTTTATTTTTTTTTAAACTAAAACATCTAAGTTGATATTAAATAGTTAATATACAGAATCTAGTTTGATACGACACAGAAAAATGTTTTAACAATCAGGAATGAACATACATAAATGATACCCCATTACCCACAAGAACGGTTTGATTTGTTAAAGGATGATACATCTGTAGAGCCGTATGTTAATCTTATAAAGTGTCTCACTTTTTCAGAATGTCGGGGTTCCGTGCCAGTTCTATCACTGTGAATGATAAATGGTTGGCAGTTGTTTCTTGCCCTGAAAAGGACACAGATCTGTTTAAAGAGACAGTATAAGCAAGCACAAGAGCTAGCAATCGCCAGGGTTAGATTACAAGAACCAGAGAAAGAAAGCGAAGCAAAACTGGAGCTTGCTAATGACAGCCAATCTGATAACTTGCTGAAGGTGAAAGATAAAATCTGAGTGGTTGTTGTAGGATATTGCTACACATTTACCTTAATTTGCATTGCTTCAGTGTTTGGAAGCCATGCCCAGGGCCTCACTAAACTTGCAGCACCAGAATGGTTTAGATTATGTACATGGTCTCTGCCTTTCTAAATAGTCCTTCCACCTCCACAAAACGCAGGACATGAAAACTGTACTGAGGGATACACAGAAGCTACCACTGCTGCCAAAGAGACACTGTCACCTCTCCATTCTGGACAGAGTAACAGGGTCTACTCATAGCCTCAGCTCGCCGATATAAGCCCCCCTGCTGCAGGAATCCCCCCTGGGTATGTTCCATTGTCACAATTTAGCTGATGACACCCAAATCTATCTCTGCACTCCTCAGCTCACCCCTTGTGCATCACTAGTTTATTAACTGACATATCAGCATGAATGTCATACCACTTACTGGACTCTGACCTGTCCCTTTATCCCCACATCCAATTACAGTCCAAATCTTGTGGCCTTCACCTCCATAACATTTCCAGAATTATCCCTTTCTTAACCAATGACACCACCAAACTACTAGCTCACTCCCTTGTTATCTCTCACCTTGACTATTGCAACTCCACCCTTGTTGACCTACCTCTACATAGGCTATCCTCTCTTCAGTCTATCCGGAATGTTGCTCCCAGACTCATCCACCTTACCAACCACTCATTTTCTGCCATCCAGGGGCGTAACTAGAGGGGCCCCGTGATTGCCAGTTATGTCACTTGCAGAGCCCACCGGAGAGTGACCCTGCAGAGCCCACCTGCTCTTAGGTCGCTGGCCAGGGATGTAAGAGGAGGCGGGGTTGCTCTTAGGCGGGCCCCGCCTCCTCCTTCATTCCGAACACCGCTCTCATCTGCTGCAGCAGCTGGCTGCCACTGACACAGCTCCGCAGCGGCTGTGAGGGGAAATGCGCCGCGGCCGCTGCTGAGCTGTGTCAGTGACAGTCAGCACCCTTACATGCCATAGCGACCCAGGCGGCCCTGCACGGGCCCCCCTGTGCCCGGGCCCCATAGCGGCCGCCTGGGTCGCAATGGCAATTGTTACGCCACTGCTGCCACCCCTCTCTGCCTATTCCTCAACTGGTTTCCACTCACCCAACGAACTAAATTCAACTAACAACATATTACTATCTATTTATACTAACAACGGCATACAAAGGCAACCCCAACTCTGCCGCAATCTACATCACCAACCTTGTCTCAAATATCACCCAAACCATCATCCTCACTCCCCCCCTAGACCTCTTGCTCTCTAGCTCCCTGGGACCAGTGCGAACTGCAAAAATGCTGCATGCACTATTTTTGCAGATTGCACTGGAGCGGAATGCAGGGACTGATGTGCCACGCTTTCGGGTGCGGGCGATCGCACTGAGAACAGGGGGGCCTGGCTGCGGTGCCATTGACTTCAATGCACCACCACGCCCCTGAACGCAGGGAGCCGGCCGGGTTGCGTTCCAGTGCATTCCAGAGTCCGAACGCTCTGGAACGCAGTCTTTGTTGTGTGAACCGGCCCTTAGGCAATCCCTGAAAACTCACCTCTTCAGGGAAGCCTTTCCTGCCTCAGAACCCAAAACCTAAACTTTAACTTTCTCCAACAACTTATCCCCACACACTTACTACTTTTTTGTATCACTTACTCCTCTCCTTTTAGATTGTAAGCTCTCACAAGCAGGGCTCTGCTAACCCTCTTGTGTTGATTTGCATTGTAGCTATACTGTGCCCCTTTATTTTGTAAAGTGCTGCGCAAACTGTCAGCACTATGTAAATCCTGTATAATAATAATATCAGTTTTATATTAATCATTTTCTGGCCTCTCCTGAAAATGTTTCTATTGCATCAATATATATTTTTTTGTAGCACAGCAAAGAAAAGCTAATAATAATAATAATAATAATTTGGTGCTCCTAGGCCTATGTTTGTTGTGTCTTATTCTACATGCAGTTCTATCTGCTCATTTAAATTATTTTATGTTAATAGATTCGGTTACAAACCTGCGATGAAGAAAGTAACAAAATTATCCAGCAAACCTTCCATGTCACAACCACCTTCCTGGGCTGTGAAAAGAGGAAAGATAAAATGAGTCTTTCTTGGAAAAAAAAGAAAATACTTATCGCTAGATGTGTGATTAGCAACAAGATCGGAAACTCTGCCTTATTTTTTTCTAGGTATGGTCCCTATGTATGGTCTCTAGGTATGGTCTCTAGGTATGTTTTGTATCATGACCCATGCAAGCAGTAAAGAACGAGCATGGCGGAAAGTTCTTCTAAATGAGCTTTATTGCTTTTGTGTAGAATTGATCTTGTTATCTCTTCTATACATGATATTTCTTTTGACTTACCTTCTTCCCCTTTGAGGATCTGTGTGAGTATATCCACCGGAAAGTCGTCTCCCTCTTCAATTGCCTTTCTGCGTCTCTCAATGCATTCTCTGCCGGTTTTCCTGAGAAGTCTGATGCTTTCCTGAGTATCTTTTATATACTTCTGCTTTTCCAAAGAGAACTAGCAAGAAAGACATAACAGGGATAAACATCAAATAATGAGGTTCTCACTTAAGTTTAGTACACAGTATGTTAGTAGGGCCGGATTTCCCACAAGGCCAACCAAGGCCCGGCCTCGGGGCAGCAGGGGTGTGGAATTCCTATCTCGCGATGCCCGGGACATGCGGTTCCAGGCGCCGGGCGGGTAGTTGTTTTCTACATTTAGCCCTGCTTTGGGCAATGGGTAACCAGAGCTAGATTTAGAGAGTGGAAGCCGCCGTTTGTTTTGTACAAGTAATGTCGGTGATGTCACCGAGATCACTTATATTCAGCCTGCAGGTCTGCCATTCTTCATGCGGGGGCGGGTGGGGGGCGCATTGAGGAACCTGACCTTGAAGCAGCAGAGAGAGTAAATCCGGCCCTGTATGTTAGCTTTTAGGCTTCCCAACTGCAGGCTAAATTTTTTGAAAAGATACCCCTGATATTGTAAAGTAATAAAAATCCAACTCACGCTGCAGTACTCACCTCCTCTGCAGCGCTGCCCCCCCCCCCAAAAATGAAAAAACAAAAGCATTGGGAATTTTAATTGCATACTATATACTATAGCAATATACTATATACTACAGCAATATAAACTGGGTGTGGGGGGAATGCTCTCGTGCTTGACTACAGAATAAATATTGACCACCCAGGCCTGATTTTGGAGTTGAAAAATCATAATCTTTGCATGCATTAAAAATTAGGATACATTCAGACAGATCATTCCCCTCACAGAGACTATGGGCTAAGGGCATCAATCTACAGTACCTATTATGGGCCCACATTCCAAGACAGATTGGAAAACATATAAATCAAGTCCTCACCCTGATAAAAGGGTTTCTCATTTCCACGAATCCTCTCATAGCCAGGGATATGGCCTGAGGAAACGGAGTCTGATCATCTTCAATGGAATTCAGGTCCATCCCAAAAGCTACCTAGAAAAAAATAAGACAATTAATTAAAGTGTATGTTGAAGCATTGCTACATTAACCCTAAACCTCCCTCTGCCCCTCTAGAGCATGTCCCAGAAACAACTTTTATTACGACCTTGGAAACCATCACTAGGCTTGTAAATTGTTGCAGCGGGAGCTGCTGGGAGGTAATTTTCTACTGTTGTAAGCATGCCACCCATAACTACTTCTCCTAAGAGCCCCTTCCCTACACACAGTGTGCGGGCAGGTTCTTGGGTGTCAAGGCAGCACCATTGTTTTGCTGATAAAGAATCCAGCATGTGGAGAGGGGCAGAGAATGGTGTGTGTGTGTGTGTGGGTGTAGAAAAGGCACTGTGTTGTCAGGACAAACAAGATGTTAGAACCACACGCATTTTGAGCAGCAGTTGCACTAAGGCCGCATCCGATGTCCTATGTGCAATCTGGTAGTTCAGTTCAGATGCTGAATGTCTGCGTGTTGCAGATGCTGAGACAAATCAAAGTCTAGCCTTGAGGTGTCCAGATTGGGAGACCCCCATCTGCTGGTATTTGGGCAACCTTATCATTATCAGTAACAGAAAACCTCAATCTGCTCACTAGACGTACCTTTGAGATGACATCCAGAGTGACTCTGCACAGCATGTCGTGCATCCCAACCTCACTTTTTCCATTAGCCTTTTCCGCAAGCTTCTCCACTAAGTCCTCGGCTTTCTCATTGAAGGGCGCCATCAATCCAATCAGGTATCTGTATAACCAATACATTCTAGGTAACGCGGCCACTGCTTATCTAAGTTAACGCACAGTGCAGAGAACACCGTAATGTGTCACCTTGTATACCTCCATTACAGCAGTGCAGAGGGATCTTTCTTTACTAGTGCAACCAGGGCCGGTGCTGCCACTAGGCAAACTAGGCAGCCACCTAGGGCGCAGCCAGGGCTGGACCCTTTCGCTGCCACCGACTTACATCATACGTTGTGGCATTGAGCGATAATTTAGCGAGGAGGTGCTTGTTTCGGGGTTATTTGTTGGTCTGTTACCCTCAGCAGGGTTGTTGGCGTGTGTGATGGGGGCTAGGGGAATGTGATTTTGGGGGAGGGTGTTTCTGGTGTGTAATGAGGGGAATGTTGAGGGGAATGTTGCAGCATTGGTAAACAGGCCACTGTTGGGGACAGTGGGTGATAGCAGCAGGGGGTACATTTTGGTCAGTGGGAGACAACAGTGGAGCGAGCGGTCACCTAATTAGAGAGCCACTTCAGCTGCTTCTCGTCTGACTGGCCAACAGTGCTGAGTACTAAGGGGGTGCCCATGATGCTCTTAATCTGGCCCTGGGCGCAGCCACGATCAGTGGCTTCCTCACAGGATTGAATGATGATCGCTGGAGACGAAGCCATCCTGCATACTTCAGCCAATCCGAGATGGGGGAAGGGGGGGTGCAGGTAGCTGGTCTTGCTTAGGGCGCAAAATAGTCTAGCTCTGCACTCTAGCCCTGAGTGCAATCTCTTAAAGCTAGTCTGTCTAGAATATAAACTTTAAAAAAGATGGTCTCCCTGTAATAGCACAGATGGAAGACATATATGGGATCTCTTATACCTGACACAAGTTTTGTTTTCTCATTCTCAATTCACTTCTGAGATTTGCACGGCTTTTCCACGCAGCACAGTCCTCTCTGGCAGGGCAGTTACATACATAGTTACATAGTTACATAGTTACATAGTATTTGACCTGATTTACCCTAAGGGAGTTACATAACACTTGTAGGTCTTGTCCTTCCCCCTGACCTGTGGCTGGACAGTTAAAGTAGAATCAACATGTTCTGTGAACTGCACCACACTTGATTGGCTCCATTTGCTGCTTTTCTCTTCCTGCAGTCTGAGCTCTGCTGTACAGGGGGGTGGCAAGTAATTAATACCAAATTACATTTGGGAACTGAAATGCTCTGTGTGCATTAAAAAAATACATTCAAGAATGTAATAAGGTCTCCACTCTCTTCAAAGTTAAAATAAATCAATTTGGCTTTGTCAGGAGTTGGACTTTAGTGTTAGATATGGCCAGGGTAGGAAGGGGTTGTTAAAATAGCCCTGAAACTGAACTCCAGGCAGACATAAAAGACACAAATCAATGCAGCTTTGCATTTATCATCAGTGTAAATAACTGAATCTGGCCGGGTATCAGCTTCCTACAATCCCATGTACAGCAGAACTCAGTCAGGGAGAGCGAGAAGCAGCACAAGGAGCCATTCAATTGTGCTGCAGTGCTCATGTGGTAACAAAGAAAATACTGATAGGGGGACAGAAAGATGAGCTCATCAATCTGCTGCTTCTCTTTTCAATGTGCAGTCACAGCTTGCGGAAGGGACAAGACCTGTAAAGTAGGGTATACTCTGTTATATATATTTTTTTTTTTTT